TTGTGATCAGTTACTCAAATAGGGAAGTTTTTACACTAAAGGAAATAAGAATAAAAATTCTGGGTAATACTGCTAGAAAAAAGAGGGAAGGGAGGGGCCCAGCTGGTAAAATGCTTGCCTTGCTTGGAATCCCAGCATCTAGAAGTAGAGACAAGACAATCACCAGGGCCTGACGGCCAGCTAGTCTAGTCTGGGGAGCACCAGCCCCAAGAGAGATCCTGTTTATTTAGTTATTTATTTTAAATATTTATTTATTTATTTATTTATTTATTTATTATGTATACTGTGTTCTGCCTGCATGCATGCCTGCAGGCCAGAAAAGGGCACCAGATCTCATTACAGATGGTTGTGAGCCACCATGTGGCTGCTGGGAATTGAACTCAGGACCTTTGGAAGAGGAGGCAGTGCTCTTAACCACTGAGCCACCTCTCCAGCCTAGGAAAACAGTTTAATAACAGTTTTGTGTGTCAAAATCTGTTCATATTTTTTATTATTTCCTTCATTCAGGTCATCAGAACTATGCTTACCAGGTTAAAGATATCCTTTTACGATATTTAGAGCAACTGTATTCTAAAACAACAAATTACTTACGGCTTTTTTCCACAAACACTTTGCCGACAGGCTGGCTAACGCCAGTGGGTGCCGTGAACCGAGAGTGCTGTTCTAGCGTACGTTGCTCATCCGTAATTATGTCTTCATCTTCCACTCCTAGCTCATTAGCATAATGTAGTTCTGCTGGCTGGGTCTTCCTGAAATCAGGGGAAATCTTTGAAAAAATAGATCACCCCTGAAAAAAGACCCACATTAAAAATTACCATGAATAGAATGAAAAGAGTCCTAAACTCATGAGCATGAAAATACGCTGTTTACCCAAACAGAATGGTTACGGACAAAAACTGCCCACATTTCTGCAGACCTCGGTTTACTCACCGAGAAAATGGTCACTGACTAGACTTGACTGCCCCGACCTAAAGTTATAAAATTCTAAGTGTAACTGAGAATTGTTTGTAGAGTCATTTTTAAGTACAAACGTCAATGTTTTATAACTTCCAGGGTATTAAAGTATACTCTTGTATTCTACATGAGACTTAACTTCCTTTATTAAAACACAATAGTTATGCTTATTGAAAATAGTTCAAACTCTATTAACATGAGAAACCAAATCACAGCAGCTCATCTTTAATGACTAATCTTTATCTCACTTTTTCAACTTGCATGGAAATATTTTCTTTGTTTTAAGCTTTTTTAGGCTATTCCCATACACGACTCTCTGGCTAGTGTTCTATTCCTTTCAAGCTCCTCATCGATTGGTTTAACTCGTATTTCTATAACACGACTTATCCGGACACACACAAACACAGTGTAAACAGCAGCACCACCCCCTTGAGAGAGCTACAAGGATTACTTTGCTTTCCTCCGTGGTTTCGGAAGAACGGCCTCCGCAGGCGGCTCCACCTCAACGCCATTTTCATTCCGCAGTAACGATGGGCTGCACGGCTTCTCACTGAATGACGTCTCCAACTCTGGATGTGAGGTGTGTCACATGATTACAACGTAAAGACAGAAGCAACACATGGTCTCCTGACCCTTGTAAGACTTTCTACTAAGGGCAGTGCACTGCCTCTTCTAATAAAGGAATACGCATTCTTAGATGAGAAACAGGAAAATCATGTTTCATTCTTTTTCTTTATCTAATCACTGATAGCACTGCCAACTTTCCCCATTTTCACTGTGCATGTCTGCGCTTAGACCTGTGTTCTAGGTTGAACTATGCTCCAGAAACACACATGTAATTTTTGTAAATGTAGTATTTGCATATTTAGACAAGTTAAGATGGGGTCATGCTGGGTGAGGATGAACCCTAAATCCGATGACAAGTGTCTTGCATGAAGAGAGTCATGGAAACAGTGAAATGAAATAACGTGACACAGGACAGGGATTGGCATGATGCTTCCACCGTCAGCGGATGCTGAAGATCACCAACAATCACAGGGAAATGGTCGGAGCTTTCTCTGGGCCATCAGCACACAAATAACGACGTGGAGACTGATTATTAATTATGAAAGCTTGGCCTTCAGCTTAGACTTGTTCCCAACTAGTTCTTATAGCTTAAACTAATCTGTTTATATTAGTCTACATTCCACCATGTGGCTCGGTTACCCCTCGGTACTGAGTGCTTCCTTCTTTAGAGTCTCACTCCCTTCACTGCCTCTCTTCCTCCTCACTCCTCCCCCAAGTCCCTTCTAACCTCTCCTCCTACCTACTAGCCATTCGGCTCTTTATTCAACCAATCAGAAGGCACTCTGACAAAGACACACCTTCACGGTGTACAAAAGATCATTCTACAACTTTTCCCCCTTTGGGTCTAAATAAAATGGAAAGGGTTTAACTCCACCACTGTAAAACTATGCACAGTAAGAACAGCTACCAGGAAAGAGTTACATTCACACTGTCTAGTCCATTTGTACTTGGCATATTCAGAGAAAATATTCTCTTATCTAACCTATCTTGATGAATCCAAGTTTTATACCTAAACCATTTTCTGTCACAATTTGCATTACCCACCTAAAAATACCTTTTTAAACCTCAAAACACTTTTCATAGATAAACAACTTAAACTTTTACATTTTTTAACCTTATAAACTTTATTTCTCTCTCTCTCTCTCTCTTTTTAATTTGGCCGTAAGGAAACTTGTAAAACTGTTAACTATCTATTCTTCAACCCTATCAGAGACCTGAGGATATAAAATTACCTGAGAAACAGGAAGTGCAGAGAAAGCAACTTCCAAACTCTCACTTAGACTTCTTCCCAACTGGCTCCTAGAACTTAGATGAACCTGCTTGTTAATCTTTGTTCTGTCGTGTGGCTCGGTTACCTCTTCTCAGTTCTGTATGTACAACTTCTTCAGTGTCTTGTTGGCATCTCTGTCTCTCTTTCTCTCTCCCCAGAAATCCTGCATATCCTCTCCTGCCTACCCTACCTATTGGCCATTCAGCTCTTTGTCAAACCAATCAGAAGGCGCCTTGGCAAAGACATCTTCACCGTGTACAAACAGACTATCCCATAGCACTGGATGCTCCTGGGGGCAAGGAAGGCACCGTTCACAGAGCCTCTGGAAGTAGTATGGCCTCACAAATGTCTTTATTTTGAGCTTCTATCCTTTAGAACTGTGAAAAAATAAATGTTGGCTGTCTGAAGTCTCCCAGTTTATGGTAACTTGTTATAACAACCACAGGAAATTAGTAAAGTATATTTTTGTGAAAGTGAGACTCCCCCCTCAAAACGTACTGTTTGATCTTTTTTGTTGTTGTTGACAGTTTCCCGGGATACTAGCTCACTTGAACAATCCTTCTGTACTTGCTTCACACTTATTTAGATAAACTGTGATCATTTCATCAGGGCCACAGTGTTCTAGTGGTTACCCATTTCTACTGCAAAGCTAATATCCTTTGATTGATTTTATCAATTATTACAGCTGATTCTACCTCGACATCTCAACAGACTGAGGCAATTTATGCTTCTACTACTGTATTACTGTACCTGTTTCCATTAACACTAGATTTATTTTATTTTCATATTGTGATCTTTTTTTGAGACAAGATCTTTCTTTGTAGCTTAGGTTAGCCTGGAACTCATTATGTAGCTCACCTATGCCTTGCAATCCTCCTGCCTCACTCAGCCTTGTGAGTACTGGATTACAGGTATACATATCAGCTCAACACTAGATTTCCTAATTTAGAAAGCAAATAGCATTGCCATCTTGATATGCATGCATACACACACACACACATACACACGCACACACACAAAGAGCATTTTTATTTACATAGCGAGTTACAGATACTCAATAAATGGTGGCTGTTGTGTTGCGGAATATCTGTACACTGTGTGAAGATGTGTTGCTGTGATTGGTGTAAAAAGCTGACTGGCCAACAGCTAGGAGTAGAGATGATGGGACTCCTGGCAGAAGAGAGGAAGGGGAGATGCCATCAGGAGGTAGAATGAGTTGGACACACAGAATGGGAGAGAGGTTAAAGTCACGTGGTAGGGTGTAGATTAATAAAATCATGGGCTAATTTAAGTTATAAGAGCTAGGGGGGCAAACCTCAGCTAAAGGGCAAGCTTTCATGATTAATAAGACTATGTAATGATTTGCAGACTGGTGATCCCAACAGCCCTATGCTGTTTCTTAGCTAGATTCCTGTTAATTCAGAGTCTGTCCTACTAATCTGAAATGTCCACTTCACTTTCTAAATTCCTGCATGTACTGAGATCTGCGCTTTCTCTTTCATGACTGAATTTTTTACTTCTTCTCTTATATACTCCATGACCAAAGAGACCTGAAAAGAATCCTGAAGTCACCAGAGCCAAAGTGGTAGTGATTTTAACTAAGAGAGCAACAACCCATCTACAGGGACTCATCTACGGGAACCCATCTACGGGAACCCCAATACGGGAACCCATCTACAGGGACTCATCTACGGGAACCCATCTACAGGGACTCATCTACGGGAACCCCAATACGGGAAC